CGTACCTAAGCAGAAAACATTACCGGCTTGCTTTGCGCGCCATCAAGTCTTTGGGCTCAGCGTAAGCGCTTCGCCCCTTATCTAGAATGGGCTTTACTAAGTCTTGAACAGGCCGTGCGATTTATTCCAATATTGTCGGTTTCCCGGGTGGTGTTGCTTGGGCTATGTTGGTGGCCAGAGTGTGTCAGTTGTATCCCCAGGCTACTGGCTCGGTGATTGTGGGCAAATTCTTCCGGATCATGAACAAGTGGGCTTGGCCTCAGCCGGTTCTGTTGAAGCCGATTGAAGATGGGCCTCTTCAGATGAAGGTTTGGAATCCGAAGGTAAGAACAAGACGCAGCAACATACAGGGTATCTGGCATGGCAGTTAACGAAAAATATAGATTTACCACGGCGACCGTTTCCACCTGATGCCTATTATTACCCCTGCCTACCCCTCCATGTGCGCGACCCACAACGTCTCAATGTCCACCAAGGCAGTTATTCTTCGTGAACTCCAGCGTGGTGGAGATATTGTGGACAAGATTTTCTTGAAACAGCTGCGCTGGGAAGACCTGTTCGCGCGACACACTTTCTTCACGAAGGATTACAAATACTACCTCAGCATCACCGCCTCGAGCAGAACCAAGGAGGCAGAGTCGGTGTGGTCTGGTCTTGTTGAATCTAAGATCAGACATCTTGTTGGAGCACTAGACAGGAAAGCAACTATCGCCATTGCCCACCCATTTCCCAAGGGATTCGAGAGAGTCCATCGTGTCTCGTCGGAGGAGGAAATCGAGGCTGTCAAGACCGGATCTACCAAGTACCAAGATAAGGGAACAAAGACTGAGACCACCGATGAGATGAAGGATGCGGCTCACCAGGCTGCAGCCCAGAACGGGGCGGAGAACACTGATGTTGCAGCAGCCGAGAATAAGCCCGTCGATGACACTCACGTCATGTACACGACGACTTACTATATTGGGTTGGAGCTCAAGCCACTCGAGCCAGGTATGTAGGATCGTCCACCTTCGTGAATCCACTGACTTTGTAGGTGCCTCCCGGTCGCTGGATATCTCGACCGATGCCCAGATTTTCAAGTCGACATGCACCTCGTGGCCAGGATACCAACCCGGTATCAATGATCTAGCGATCACCCATGTTCGCAAGTGAGTGGCCCGTACCCTGCGGCACAAGTTACCGATTAACTCCCGTCAGCTTCGACCTTCCCGAGGACGTGTTCCAACCGGGAGAGACTCGCCCAACCCGCCCGAAGAAGAAGATCATCAAGAAAGCCGAGATCAGCGGCCAGAAGCGCAACATCGAATCCTTGGACGTAAGTGCACGCAAGAAAGCCAAAGTAGCTTACGAGCAGCGAACCGGCTACCATACGAACTTCGACTCTTCGCAAGTCGCCTAGTGCTCGATCGTTCTCCGTGTGTGGGTATGACTGATATCGACTGTCTGCGTAGGACCCGTCCCACCCCGCTGCCAAACGCCAGGTCCCCTCCAACGGAATCGCCAATACAGCAATGCCCGCCTGATTTGAGATCATATGAAGTCTGAAGAAGCTCCCACTCGCGCCGGGGCAGGCCCCCATAACAAACAGTCCGAGAGACACGAACCATATAAACACCACGGTATCCGGGTTTGAATTCCAACCAAATCCCACCAATCTGGATGAGCATACATTAATGATCTGAGCAAATAACCCCAGCTGACTGACTCTGACCATCACCGCAGTTGATCTGGTATGCATTGCAATATCCCTTGCGATCACCAGCTCGGATAACCGGGAGGTCAGATGTACAAGGTTGGTTTACTCTTCTTTTTCTTCTTTTGCCGTTGAACACCATCATTTGCCCCATCTGTCATCATCGTATTGCGTTCCCTTCTTCTTTTCTTGTCTCTTCTCTCATGCAGGTATATTAGAATACGGCCAGCCATGATATGATAGCAGCTGTAAGAGCCGGACTTTCTCTGGGATGGAGAGAGTGAGGCGAGACAGACCCGGCCAGATAGTTCTACAGCTGTACATAGCGTTTCATCCCCCCCTCCTGGTCTGCCTTAGGTTCTGGTGTGTATGCCAGAGTTACAGTTACAGTTACTAGGTCTAGTTGCAAATGAAGGTACAATTTGTGGCCAAGGGTCACTTTAACCTGATTTTCTCCAGTTATGGCAGAGCAAATCCCTAACGTCTATACTGTAGCCTTACTACCTATATACAAATCTACCCCCCTCCTCAATCAAACATACAACACACAACAACCGATGGAGTATATCACCTCCACCCCTCAACAATCTCCCCCAACGTCTCTACCCCTCCCACATTCCCCGGAAAAACCACAAACGGCACACCCCTATGCCTGGCCGTCTCCTCATCACACCTCCAAAGCGGCACCCCAGGCGCCGCCTGCCCCAGAATCATCGCGCGCTTAATCCCCAACCCCTTCGTCGCCGCATCAGACGAAGTAATGCCGCCCTTGGCAATAACAACCCTCGGCCGCACCTTCACCCGCTTCAGCACCTCCACCAACGCCTCCGCCACGCGGCCCCCTATCGCTAGACTGGAGAGTTCGTCGCCTCCGGTGATGAGTTTGCGGCTTGTCATGACCAATGCGTCTTTTCCCGAGAGAAGGGATGATTCAACGGAGGAGACGGTCATGGTCGATTATGGGATCCAGAGATGAGGATGAGGATGTGGTGGTGGCGATGATGTCTTCGACGTCGAGCTCGACTATGGAAAGGGTGTTTGTGCCCGTGGGGCCGTGTTTGGTTATTAGGTGGTTAAGCTGCGCGGTGGTTTTGGGGACGTAGGAGCCGGCGATAATGAGGGTTCCGGTCTGGATTTGGGGTTCGGGGAAGGAGGCGGCTGTTAGGGGAGCTTGGGGACGGATGCCGAGGGATGTGGAGACGAAGGCGGCGGCTGTGCGGTAGAGGTAGTGTTTTTGGGATTGGGACTTCGCTGTAGAGATTGATTAGAATAGGTTTGTGGGGGTAGGTGATAAGAGGTAGGTGTAGGTGTAGGTGTAGGGATACCTTTCAGCAAGCCGGCGACGAATACATGCATGTCTGATTCCGCCGCGGCGTTGACGATCACTACGCTCCCCTTCGGCAAAGCGAGGAGCTTCTCGCAGATGGTGCTGGGTCCATTGACTCTAATGTCCTCGATGGTGATGGAGTGAATTTGCTCCGGGGTGAACCGTCCCGGCGCCTTCTCGAGCACGTAGTCATGGAGGTTGGAGCTCTTAAACCCGAAGGTTGCGTCGCGGGCGAACTGGGTTGCGCCGGCTGGGACGAGGTTGTCTCCTTCGGCGACGTAGTGGATGTCGTTGATGGTGAGGCGACCGCCCTGGAAGAAGAACGGGGCGAGGATGATGGCGTCCGCGGGACCGAAGACGGACTGCGCGACATCGGCTTCGAGGGGGAAGTGTCCNCGNAGAGTGCTGTCGCCGCGTAGGNCGATGTGCACGGTGGTTCCGAGCGAGGTTGTCGGCCTGCTGGACGTTTTCGCAGATGGTCGGATTAGCTTCTCGGCCTCCAGGGGGGGCAGGGCGCGCGAGTTGGTGAGGATGAAGAAGCCCGGAGAGGGTTGTTGCAGTTCGGCTTGGAGAGTCGGGATGTCCCAGACTGTGAGCCCGGCGAGTGTCATGGCATGTCTGGGTGCCGGTTGGGTCGTCGTCGAGTACGACGAGACGACTAAGTGATGCGGTGGAGAGGAGCTCGGAGATTTGGTCTTGGGCGTTGAGGGAGGATTCGGGGGGCAGCTGGGATAGGGTGCTCTCGCGGGGCACCACGGGGTATTCGCGGGGAGTGGTCATTGTCAGTCAAATTGTGTGGGATGGTTCTTGGGGAAGTCAATTGGGGAGAGAAGCAATTGTGATGCTTTAATATAATGTGAAGTGGAGCAAAGAATCAGAGAAACGGAGGGGAAGCGGGGATCGGAGAGAAAGCCGATGCAACTGGATTCTCCACCAAATAGCATCATATCATAACCGGGACAACTGATGGATCCAAAATGTTGGTCAATTCAAAAGGTAACTCCTGTCTCGCATGCTATATCCACAGGAAGATCAGGGCAGTGACAAACAAGCAACCCATGCAGAATCCCCCAAAGCGCCATGACATGTGCAGCAATGCAAGCCGGTCATCGTGAGTGAACTGGAATAAAGTAACAAAAGGAAATAGAATGATCGCACAGATGGCTTCCAATCCGTCATTATACATGTCCTCCCTTGTATTTTCCATGAAGAGCAAAAAGAAAAAAGAAGAAGACAACAACCCCTGGTTGTATCCCGACACTTCTCCCCGATTAACCTCAATTCTTGCGAATTGATGAAAAGCAGAACCAAAACCACCCTAGACAGGACATAGGAGAGAAAGCATTAGCAGACACGTTGTGATCAACGTAGAATGAAGAGCATGACGTAAGGAAAAGGAAAAGACAGTCAGGATGGACTCTTTCACCCGACGACACTGCGGAAGCTCAGCGCTTCCAGGAAGCCTCCTAAGTCTTCCTTCTGTACCTCCACCACGCAGTGCTCAAGCTATCGATGCGTACTCGAGCACTGGTTTCTTGCACCACTTCCTGGAACGCAATTCCAAACCTATTTCGCAAAAGATGCTTATTGCTGCGCAGGTCCTCTTCATCTTCAGACTCGGACTCGGATTCAGACGACGAGTCCTCCGTCTCCTCCTCTTCATCGTCGTCTTCACCGTTGGCAGCGCGCTCGGCAGCGCGCTTCGCCCGACGCTCCTCCCGCTCCTTGCGCTTATTCTCCTTGGCTTCTTTCTTCTTCCTTCGTTCCTCTCGCCGTTTGGCGAGGGCGGCAAAGTCGACCACTCCACCACCTCCCCCGGTACCCACGACCACATACAAGCCCCGGTCCTCGTCAAGGCCGGCCAGAACAAGCGGCGTGCCCAGGGCCCGCCTACGTCCTACCTTGACGGAGTCTCCTCGTTCCCTCTCTTGTACCCGGATCGCCTCAGCAACCCACAAGGCCAATTTTGTTAATGCCCCCGGATTGGTGAAGAGCTTCACGTCCGGACCATCTTTGACAACGGCGATGCGGAACGCTCGCAGATGACGGATCTGGTGCTTCGCAAGTAGAGAAGTACCAGTGCGAAGGATAGCCCGGTGCAGGTGCTGGGCGAGAGGGAGAGATGACAGCAGGAGCGTCGGCGACTCCGAAGTCAATGACAGAGCGTCGTAGGCGCTCCAAAACCGGGGTAGCAGGCTGGCCAGATCTGACTCGGTGGACCCGTCGGCATTGGATGTTGTAGCCGTTCTGGACGCGCGTTTGGCATCCCACACTCCGGGGGCTTCTTCAGGCCCGACTTCAAGGATTGCACCGATGATAACACCCACATCGGTGGCAGAGAGGCAAGCTTTCCAGCCCCAACAGCGCACAAATCCCCATCCTTCGCGAGAGATGGCATGCCCAGATGCCTCCGGCGGAACAAGTCCGTCCAAGCCGTACATTGGTGCATACTTCAAGAGGCGTTGTCGTAATACTCGCTTCAGTTCCATGTCCATATGGGTATAGTTTTGATGGCTCTGGTTCAAGCTGATGCCCATCTTGGCTAGCAGTTTATGTAGTCGTTTCTTTCCGTTCTCCGTCCACACATGAAGCCTGGATGCTAGGTACGGGCTGTGTAGCATACTGTCGTAGAGCGACCAATGCCGTACGAGGATGAAACGCGGTTCAGGCGATAGCCGAATCGATTTGTCCGTCGGAGACCGTGCCGTGGTCGGGATGACGCCGTTGATTTCTCCTCTGCTATCGCGATCTCGCTCATACGGATCGGGAGGGTTTAATCGCAGAACTTCGTCGCGTAGGATCTGCCGTATTCGTTCACCCCTCTCTCCACCCCAGCCAGCCGAGCCTCCGTACTCCAACGCATTCGACACACCCACTCCAGACATGGTACGGCCACTCAGTTCCAAGCTCGAGACACCCACAATGGCCAGCCACAGCAGATCGTTGTCTTCACGACCGAGCTCGGACGCAAGGGAATAGACAATGGAGGAGATCGGTTCCGAGTACGACGTCCCTGACGAATAGTAACTCTGCAGCACATTTTCGTGCTTCCTTTTCATGCGCAGCAATCGTCGTCGTAGTGTGCGCGCTGACGGGGGCTTGGGCTGTACCGGCGACGGTGAATCTGATGTCGGCGTAACAGAGCGAGACGAATTGGATGAATCATGAATAGCTCTCCGCGGAGGACGTGACGGCGACGAAATAATATAGGAGCCCTACAATGAGCATATTAGCACCACCCTCCGCACAACAGGAACGAATTCTACACACCGAATCACTCCTTCTCCGCTGACGCGGAGGCCCATCTTCATCATCCGACTCGTCGTCCTCATCCTCACGCGACCACGACTTGCGTTTCTTCGAGTCGGAACTCGAAGGATGATCCTCATCGCGATCACTCCCCGAGTCGCCATCCTCGTCCTCGTCCTCATCCTCTTCACCCACCTCGGGCATAGCCACCAACTCACAATACGCCTCCCGTTCCTTCCCCAACTCCTCCTCAATATCCCCATCATCGTAGACCACAATGCCCCCATTGCCGGACGTATACGCCGACGTAATACACCCCTTCTCAACACCGCGCGACCCCCGTCTCGCACCCAGGTTCATAACCCCCATAGCATCAGCCGCCGCAGACGGCCGCCCCTCACCCCCAAACACATTAGCTAGGTTCCACGGCCGCCTAGCATCGAAAACCCACACCTCAACCCCGCCCATGTCCTCTTCCTCATCTTCCTCTTCAGTGCTCAAGCATAATATCTCGCTCAGATCCACAAGGCCTCCCACCCCCAAACATACAACTACTCCACCACTCCCGCCATTGTTCGTCCGCATGGGCTTAACCAATTCCTCGCCTGCGCGCGCCAGATCGCCATATCCGGCTACCGGCTGGATTTTGTGCGGGATGTAGTCGCGTTTCAGGAGCGCAGTGAGAATTCGACAGGCACAGAGGGCATCGGGCTCGAGAGCCACGAGGATCAGAACGGGCGGGGAGAGCGGGTGGTGTGAGCGGAGGAGTTGTTGGTAGAGGTGGGAGATGAGTTGGCGGGGGAGATACATGGCGGTTAGGATTGGAGTCGGGCCGTGAAGAGGGTCGAAGGGGGGCTCTTGTTGAAACCCTCGTCAGGCCGTAAGGAAAGAACCAGCAGTCGCAGTTGGAGGTGGTGTGGTGCTACTTATTTAGTGAGTGAAGGAGGAATTGGCTGAAGCACGCGGGTGGGCAAGTATGAGGGCGACGAGAGGGAGAAGAAGGGGCCGTGTCGGAGAGTATTGGGAAAAGCCTAGATTTTTTGAGTCTGAGCCGTCAGATAGAAGAACAAGCGTAGAGTTATTTGGTGGCGACTCAGAGGTAAGAGGCAAGAGTCGTCCACGCCATTGTTCCTGAAGTTGTTGTTGCTTGTGGGTGTTTTCTGCGGAAACCAGGCGATGTAATAATCGAGCGGCGCGCATCGCCAGCCCAAAGACGCGTCTGGCACGTGCGGAGGTCCGCCCGCCAAGCCCGGATTTTACTCTTCGCAAATAAAATCAATTTTACTCAAAGGCGCTGCCTGTTGGCATGTTGCATGTCTCCACGTTCTTCAGTTCTTCAGAATGTTGCACTGCAGATGGGCTTGTTTCGAGGGGCGATGGGAATGGGTTCCCTAAATTGGCTGTCGCAAGTATGGGTTTTATCCTTCAAGCGTGGCTTGAACTTGGGTTTAGTCCCAAAGCATATTATGTCGCCCTAGGCCGGCTGCTCTGATCAAGAAACAATGCATTCGTCTGTGTACATGCTATGCTGATTATAACGGTGAAAAGTTGTATGGGAAGAAAAAAAGACACCTGGAACGCCATCCCTGCGCTATCCGGTTAACATAGACTCCGGGTGCAGATGTGCTCTAGCCTCTAGGTCAGGAGATCTTCAGCGCAGGCGACCATCTGCAAACCAGAAGAAGTAGTCTATAATACGCATAAAATGCAATATTCTGCCTCAAGATCAAGCCGAGGTCCCGCCCAAGATCGATCCCGTAAGCCAGACAGCAGCACACGCGCCTAGGACGGAAATTCCGACCAACCGCTTCTGCCACGTAGATTCCTCCGACATCTTCGCCGGCCCAACCTTGGACCTGACCGTGTAATGCGGGGAAGATTCCTCATGCGCGCTGGCGTCCTTCGACACTGATGACTCGTTCTGTCGGACGAAATAGTCCTGGTCGCGAGCACGCCATTTGTCCACGAGCCGGGCAATCTCAATCAAATCCTCCTTCAACGAGCCCGGCTCGGTTGCATTGATATTCTCAACTTCGACGTTCTGCACATTCCCAAAGAAGTCTGCCACGGTGCGAAGCCGTCCCTCCTGCTCGCCGCCGGGAAACAGGTCCCACCTTACACCCGGCTGGGAATGGATCTTGGACTCGTCGTACGAATCGAACAAGTCGCCCAGCGTGAGCTTCGAATTGGCACTTGTCACCTGTGTTTCCAAAAATTCCAACACATAGTATGTCCAGCGGTCGATCACCGCAACCCCGACATCATTGTCCGCATGGTGAGAGTAGGAAGATTGGTCAAGCTCACTGGATCCGGTGGCGATGATATTCGGCGAGTAGAAATGCGTGTACATGGTGTTGGCCTGGCAGGTATCAATCATAAACAGAAGCTCATGGTAGCGCTTCTTTTCCCACATCTGACCGAAGGCGTCCGCCAGGTCCCAGGCTCCGATTTCCTCGGAGTCTTGGAATTTCAGAAACTGGTCGCCGCCGTGACCGGTCATATAGACCAAAACGTTACTACCAGCGTCGGAGCCTAGTCGCTTGCTGCGTGGTACATCTTCGTCCAGGCGATCCGTCAGGAGGCGGATGAAGTTCTCCACGGTGACCTCGTACCCCCGATAGTCGACCTCGATGTTGTCGCCGTAGAGATCAACGGCGCGATCTGCGTTACTGTAAACGGTTCCGGGAAAGGCATTGCGAGGATTGCAGGCCATGTCATCGGGGAGCATCAGGATGATCTGCGAGTCGGGGATGCCCAACCGCTTGACGGTGCGGTACAAGGAGAGGACATTGGCGAGATGACGGTAGTTGAACCAGAATCGGGAGGTTGAGACGAGGACGGCCCAGTTGGAAGTATGCTCGGAGGACACTGTGATGGTGAAGGCGAGTAGTAGTAAGGGCAGGACTCGAAGGAGTCCGGAATAGAGCGTCAACATGATCGGTGATGGGATGTTAAAGCATCGCAGACGCCTGCAATGATGATCAATCAAGCCGCATTCGGGGAGACGGAGGTATTCCTGAGGCAGAAAGGCGGAGATGCGGGTAGAGCAGCACTAACCGTTTGTGACATAGCTCCCACAAGTGACGTATGTAAAATGTTTGGATTACTTGACTTGTTTGTGGTGTTTACATCGATTGAACTGCGCATACCAATTTCTGAGGCGATATATGACTTGAGTCCTATAAGTCCATATAACATACATACAACACAGACCGAACACAGCATGGATAGCAATTTTGGTCGCTCTCGTATCCCTACAGCATTCCCTTTTTATTTATTTTGCCAAACGGGCCCTGTTCCCACATCATAATCTGATCAACGTGGCGTCTCACCCTCGGGTAAACGTCTTGATAGGCTGTCGAGCCCATCCAGGCGTCTAAATGTCCCTTGCCCGGGAAGACTTCCCGCTCGTACCAATCCCTTCCGTGCACATTACAAAGCGTCGTATACGAGATATCCGTATTCTCGGCAGTAAACACCATGTTTCCAGTTCCTGACAGGAACAAGATCGGAATACCCTTCAAGCGTTCGAGGTTTTCCGGCGTGACGAGATTGGTGAAAGTTGGCCCGTTGGCTAGAACGTTCTCCTTGCGCCCACTCTCCATGAGCCATTGAAGGGAACGCATTGAAGTGCCGCCGAGGAAGCGTTCCAGCTGGGTGTGGGTGGCGTCGTTGAGGTTTTTATGGGTCCAAAGACTAAGGTCTGATTAGGTGATTGTTGCTGGCGGATTAACCCAAATCTTTGGGACACTTACCGACCAAATACAAGTTCGCTCCGATGGCAGACGACCGATCGGCACGACTCCCCGACCTCTCCCTGGGGGTAAAAGCGCAACGCCTGGTTTAGCAATGACTGGATAGAAGTGTCGTTGCGGCTACTGGTGCAGTCCCAGTACGGACTGACCAGTCGGGCATATAGGGATGTGGGAAATCTGGACAGGAGACTATCAACCTTTCCGAACTTAGGGTTCATGAAAACCATTGATGCGGTGATCCCCTGAATCCGTCACTAGGGATCGTGCCGTCCAGCAGGCCGCAAGAGAGTGCTAGAGAGCCTGCGCAGTGGGCCACCACGTAGACTTTGGGGGGCTCGGCCGGACTCAATGCGCTGACATCCTCGCGGATGTGGGCTAGAGCAGCGTGTATATCGCGCCGTGCATCATACGATGTGTACCCTTCTCGAGCGATGGGAGCTCGTCCGACTCTATGAGTGATGCAGTAGATGCGGTATCCGGACTCGCGGAAGTACTCGACTGCATTCCGCTCTATGGTCGGAAGAGCGAACATCTTGTGGTCAACCGCTGCTCCTGGTATAAAGAGTAAGGTGGGGGCAGGTCCAAGGATATCCTTTCCTTGGAAAGTGGGATTCCACATCACCATGTTTGTGGTGACTCCGTCAGATGCTTTCAAAGGAATGGTGGAGGATGGAGATACTTCCTTAGAGGCGTAGTTCAGCGTTGTGTTTGGCCATTGAAGTTGCCCAAGCGCCGAAAGAAACGGCACAGAAAGCTGTTTCGCGAAATAGGCGAGAAAGCGCGCTGCTGATCTGGTCCTTGTCCACAACGATGGCCCGCTTGTTTCGAAGGTTTTCAATTCGTAACCGAAGTCGTCTGGCAGAATGCGCAGCATACCGCGGCCTACGACTATGTTGCCCGGGTCTGTGATAGTAACATACAGCGTGCTGGTCTGTCTCCACAGTTCGAGTGGGTTGAGGAAAGATGCACTGTTTACGACTTTGTAGCCGTTGAAATGCAGTTTCCTCCCACTGGTCGAAATCATGTCGAAGTTGTAGGTCAGGTTTGCTGTGTCTGGTTGCCGAGCATCGTAGTTGAACAGTTGGAAGGTGCCTCGGTGAACCAAGAAGACACCCCCAAGCGTATTACAAGTAAATGTTCCCGTCAAGTTTGCCAAATGTTGATTGCTCTTCACCACTACAAAGTGTCAGTCAAACTTGAACTCATAGGCTGATGTTTAGTATGAACTCACGCTCCTCAGCACTCCATGCTTTAACGCTTAGGAAGAATCGTGCATTCTCGCAGCGGCCTCGAGCAAGCTTCGTCGCGACCTCAAAGTCTTTAACGTCATGACCAGTGTATATGAAGCCATTCATAATCTCCGAGAACACAACGCCGGCGTTCTGATTTTCAGTGGCTTTGGCAAGCCTGTATGCAAGTTGCGCGGTTTCTGCATCTTGAGGAGAACGATATGCGGGGGTACCGAACATGTCCAATTGACCTGAGGCTGTTAGCGAGGGAAAAGCGATTTGTTTCTGCTTGATACCCACCGTTCTTCGTGTTATAGTCGATGGCTATATTTCGCCTCTGGGCTACCATCTCAACTGATCTTTCAGCAAAGGCTGTAATGGTCGCAAAAGGGTTGACGCCAACAGCTGCTGGCAGTGCAGAACTGTCGCACACGACCAGTCCTTCATACGCCTCGCTGCTGTTTCCCTTCAATACTTCCCCAAGGTGGTTCACCACCCCATTGTTGCCAGTGTTGTCTTTGCTGATGCGCGCTCCACCTCTGCAGTAGACGTTAGGCACTTCACCTGGTGCTGGGTTTACCGCTACTAAACATACATGGGATGCACTGTGATCTCCTGCCTACCCAAAGTACTCCAGACTGGGTTGGCTATGAAATTCCCCCCAATAGCAGCCGTCATTCTCTCAAGGATACCGTGGATGCGAGATACAGATTTAGAACGGCCCACGCCCGAGTATGTAAGCACTGGCTTGTCTTTCTGAAGTGTCAATCTGCCTTGGCTACCTGCAATATTGTAAGAAGCAGTTTTTATAATCTGACAAGTATACAAGTTACTCACTGTCATGCGACATAATCAAATATACGGCAGTTTTCTGCACGCTGCCCTCGGGTACGTATGGTCCAAGCTTGCCTTTCAGTCGTGCAACAAACTTCTCTACACTCTCGACAGGGCTGTATTTGGGACGTCTCATATCTGGCAAGTATTCCAGCATACTGAACATGAGTGGGGCAAGAGCGTATGGTACCGCACAATCTTCTACCACAAACCCGTCCAGAGGGTTTCTCTGATCCCTCAGATCCAAGACTGAAGTTATGCATGGTCCTACGGGTCGCTCAGGTGTAGGTTCAGGACGAGCTATGCAATTTGCTTCATAGTCGGTGTTGTACCTGTTACAGCGTCTCAGTTCAGTGTCTATGAAGCGCAGCGATAAACTTGCCCGAAGCCCAACATATCCCCATTGCCGCTCATCTCAGTCCCAACGTCATCGCTCAAGTCCAAGCCCATCTGTCTGCTGCGGAGCAAGATCTCGGTTGTTCCGATGCTCCCAGCTCCTAAGAAAACAAATTTCTTTGCATGCACCCACATAAGGTCGTCAAAGAAAGTGCTGAAACGGTCTCGTCCACAGGAACGCCACGCGAAATATATAATGTATCCTTCACGATCGGGGGCTTTGGCGATATATCTGACCTCGCAATTGCAGAAAATCTCGGCACCCCAATTCCATGCATCACTGAGATAATTTACAAGCGTTGTAGACTTGCTGCCGTCGTTGATACCAGTCGCATCCATGCCCGTCAGCTGTGATGCCTGCATGTAGACTCCCGTAGAGTTGGGGCCGTCCTCAAACCGAGTTGTTTGCGGAACACGGTAGAAATTATCGCCCCAGCTCATGAGCTCCGATTGCCTTTCAAGGAGGTCGGCTTTGAGGAGCTTTGGGAAAGTGCGATGGGTATTGAGCAGGTTCCAGAACGCTCCTTGCGCGGTCATAGTCTGGATATCATAAGAAACGGGTCCAAAGTAGAGCAAAGCCCGATCTTGGGACAGTGCGATACTTAAGCTCATGAAAGTGCATGCTTACATTTCTTCCATACATTATGTCCTCTCAATTCCTCCGGCCAAACTCCCATTTCCAAGACTTTGCGATGGGCTTCAAGGAACACATTGGCATTTAGAAGGCTGGTGCCACCGAGACCGTTGCCCATATACACGTTCTGGCCTTCGCCTACCACGAAGTGATATAGGCCATTTGGGTTCCCCGCGTCAACCATCGCTCCCGGGATACTTCTTCTGTCGCCGGGAGCGAACTGGCCGCTGACGTGAAGCTCCTCCACCGCATCCTCCAGCTTTTCAGGAAACTCACCAGGCCATCTCTCTCTCCCTCGCTCCAGGACGCAGACGCTCTGTCCTCCTCTGGCCATTCGACTGGCGGCCACGCCCCCTCCATATCCCGAGCCAATGGCCACCACGTCATAGGAGTCTTGCATGAGCTCTACTGGTAGTGAGATACGGGGGAAGCGGCTTTGAGATTGAGGTCCCCTGTCAGCCGGATTAGCAGAGTGACCTTGAGGCTTTTGGGACGGGTTTTCATTGTAGGGTGAGCCCCCGTTTGGACTATCGTGAACTCCGTTCATCCCATTGACTGTGTGCTCCGCATTTTGGATTCCGTCTTGCATTGCAGTTGATCTATCCATTGAGATGGATTGTCTGTGCTGAGACCGAGTATCTACAGTTCAAAGACAGGTATATGATGACTTTGAAGTCGAGCAGGGAGCCTTGTCAAACTTATCTCAGGCCTTAGCTTCCCAATGACATCCCGTAACGGAATAGCATGGGGCCGGTCACGACTATGAAATATCTTGCTCACCCATTTTGCTACGAGTAGACATATAGTCCATCACATGTCGGGGGATAGAGCATTCGTCATGTTCATATGAAAAAGGTTTGTGGCCGTGAATCGACCCCGCCCGCATCGTAATAGTTGAGGCTTACTCAACTCTGTTATCTGAAGAGAGTTTCCGCAAGCAGCTACACCACCAATTTAATGGTCTGTGAAGAAAGGCTGAATTAACTTTGTGGCTGAATGTAATTAAAGTAACGGTCCGCTGACAATCTGGCATGTTGTTGGCCTGAGAATCTCGGTTCATCAGGCCGAAGAGAATCTAGGTCGGTTAGACTCAAGCTTGACGGTCCGGGGCCCTTGGCTGATCATTTTGAGGTATTCCGTGGCGCCTCAGCTATTACTTCATTCGTCAAACCAAACAATCCACGGGGTTCCCGATCGGTCATGCCGGCGAATGCGTCAAGGTCTAGGCTGCCACATGAGATACCTCGAGAGGCATCATTTGACGTCTGAGAAACTATATCTACGGCCATCACGGTTCTTACAAGAGGACTCAGGAGACGATGCCCCAGCACTTCCACAAGCTTTACACATGAGCACTTGGTTCCCAACTTGTCATCATGCCTGCTGGATCTTGTCAAGTCTATGGCTCCGTATCTGGTGAGGACATCAACAGTTACCCCAAATATACGGGTTCGCCATTGCTGCTGTTCCTCGCTGATCTGTGGCTCTTCCTCCGTAACATCTTCTACCTACCGTGCATTTTCTTGCCTCTCACGCCATGGTCATGTGGAAGTCTGGATGAGCTGTATCCTTCCCTAGCCAATATCTTCGATATCTGTCTTCATTGTGTTTTGTTTGTCCTCCAGCTCGTCTTCCTTGCCTCACTCCCATTATTCATTTGGCTTCCATTCGGTGTCTATGTTCTGTATATTTTGACCGCTCTGGCCCTGAATACGCTCATCTGCTACGCTTTGAACCGGGGAATCCCAGCCGACGGTCTCAGGTCAACGGAAGATGATTTCTCAAGGCGGTGGAATCGCCATGAGGACGAGTATTGGATATTCCTCAATGGAATTTGCGTCGGGTTGGTGTTTATTGCATTCTATTTCGCAAGTACAAGACTGACCGAATCAGGAGGAACTGGCTGCAGAATAACGTCGATCGCATATCGCGGACATTCCACCGTCCAGTTGTTGGTGTCCACAATAAAACGTAGACTTCCCCGTGCTTGTTGTATCGAAATCTCCCGATAAATGGATCCCTGATACTGACTAGGGCCGGTGTCATATTCGACATTATCCAATGCCTCATTCAACGTTCCTTGTTGTACGCGACAAATGACGTCCGAGACTGCTACGTGTTGGTTAGAAGAGCCTTGTATCGGTCGGAGATCAAAAAGGTTGTTTTAATCCTACACTCGCAAGGGGGCATCGAGGGTGGAATGATCCTGGATTGGCTTCTCGACGAAGTACCGCAGGATCTTATCCGGCAACTGGAGATTTACACCTTTGGTTGTCTTGCAAATCACTTCAACAACCCGTATCGCGACATAGCATCGTGTAACGCAGCCATGCGCTATGTGCGCACGGGAGAAATCACTGGCAATGTTCGCAACCGCACAATTCTACACATCGAGCACTATGCCAACCAACGTGATTTTGCATGTCGCTTTGGGGTGCTTAATTTTGACCACAGTAAGCCACGGGACCGTCGCGAAAACCGGTTCATGGGTAAGGTGCTTGTAAGTCCGGCTTCAGGCCACCAATTCAATCAGCATTACCTTGATACGATGTTCCCACTGGATCCAACCAATCGATTTACGCGGGAGCCGCGGGAGGGTGACTTCATGGACACGGATGTCATAGTAAGTCGACATGATCGGCCTGAAGAAGACAGGCCTGTCACGGTCCTCGATGCAGCGGGGCTGTTGGACGCAGGCACTGGGGAAGTAGATGGCACCAGTCTGAACTCGGTACTCTCTGGTAGCACGCAAAACATGAAAGTTGGGCTCAATATGAGGTTGAAGATGCACCAAATGAGCAGATTGTGGTTATATCGAAATGGCGGCTGTCCAGTCGCATGAGCTAGCCTTCTATCTCTGAGGGAGGTAAGGCTTTTTATATGTATTATAGCTGTGTGTGAACAAAATTGTGGCGATGTGCAATTCAGACGTAGTTTGATCAATGACCTTGCTATCACAGATGTCATTAAGTCATGCAGCTAGAGATGGTTGCAAGCTGAATGTCTGCCTTGTCGCCATATGCATACTTAATGAATGATTGATTTTCCTTTGCGATGATAGAACCTCGGCAGTGTAAGTGATAAGAAAACTCACTACCAAAGATCCTTCCAATAGAACACCTGGCAATGATCAGGTGCCTATGCACCTGCAGAACCTAGAGCTTCGTCATATGGCAGTGCATATGTACTCAGTTCCAGAGGATAGCTGTGAACAAGTCCGGAGATGCCGATAAAATCATGAATAATCGAGATGCCTCGGCTATTGCCTGAATCGGAAATCCCGTGCTCCACCGAACCGACGTGTGAAGGCGGCCTCCTTAACCCCCGCCAGATCCCAGGACTTTCTTTTTTGCTTCGCGCATTTCCTGTGTTTCAACTCCTTACCTGTCTCGGAGTCAGAGGAATACTAATTATGGCGCAATCAGCGACTCTTTTCAAACCTCCGCCGTTGGATTCCACCAAGGCGCCCATTGAGAATGTGTTAGAACTGACACCGGTGATTGACGTGGGGAAAGTATGTCTTTTCCTCCCATTCCTTTAGTTCTGGCGAATCCAACGGGTTTTTCTCTTTCAACAGGATGTTTTTACCAATACGCGACCCCTTTGGCATCCGCCTGGAGCGCGAGGCATTTACGGTGGTGCTGCCATCGCCCAGTGTCTCGCCGCTGCGCTACGAACCGTTCCCGCCGATTTCGCCGTCCATAGCATGCACTGTTACTTCCTCCTCGCCGGTGACTCCGAGATACCTATATTGTACCACGTGGAACGAGTACGTGATGGAAGGAGCTATATCACGCGGACGGTACAAGCCAAGCAGCGCGGTCGCCCCATCTTCACCACAACACTGAGTTTCAACAAGGCCAACAGTGGCGGCAAGAAGAAGCTTGAGCATGCATCTTCGATGCCAGCTGTCACTCTGCCAGAGGAGCCTGGACCGGGATCTAAAAGAAAATTCGAGGAATCGGGTGGTGGGCCATTCGAGTCACAGAGAGCGGGTGTTGTAGATCGTCAGTATCTATGGTGTGTCGGTAGAGCTGGAGATTATATGCTGACTGTCTCAGGAAACCTCCCTCCTCAGGAACGGAAAACGAGACGCTTCATGCGATCACGGGGCAAGATTTCCGATGCGGGTGGCCATCAGGCTCATCTGTCTGCCCTTGCATATATGACCGACAGCTATTTCATTGGCACCGTGTCCAGGGTCCATAATATTCCTCGGTTCTCCTCCCCAGAGGAACTTAAGAAGGCACTAAATGCGCTCAAGAACCCGTCTGACCTGGATGACGAGGATATCGCGCGTGCTCTTAAGGAGCTGAAGGAAGAGGAAGCGGCAGATCTACGCCGTCGCTTGGAAGGCGCTTTGCATAGAGTAACTACTCAGCCACCTCAGGAACATAAGGAAGTGGGCATGATGGTCAGTCTTGATCACTCAATCCACTTCCATAACCCTTGGGCATTTCGGGCAGACGAATGGATGCTTACAGAAATGGAGAGCCCTTGGGCTGGCGAGGGACGAGGCTTGGTGTTACAGAAGATCTGGTCAAAGGATGGTACTTTGATCGCTACATGCACCCAAGAGGTATGTGTGTTGAGTGCTTCTACTGAAACGACATGTCTAATTGGGTACTTTATAGGGAGTCGTGCGTCTCAAACAAGACGAGCCACCTCGGTCTAAGCTTTGACGACGAGGACACATGCCGTGGACATCCAGTCGTAGTAGATATACCCGTATTTTGTCTTTCCGGATAAATAATCTTAGATTGTATAGATTTTGATAATTGTATATAGTATAGTTTGGCAACGAACTGGTCATATGCCATCCTCCGTCAATCTTCATCGAATTGTTCTGTTGGTCTCTTGCCGCACGTTCACACTACTGACCCCAGAAATGAACTGCATATAGTACAACGGTATACATTAGTATTACTAGATGTTAGGCTTTTGAATTAGAGGCAATCATACTCCATTTCACAAGCAAACTTTAACAGTGTGCATTCTGGGCTGTTCTGAAGTCTCCCAGGTGAATGACTATAATATATCAACAAGATTTCTCAACCATGCAGGATCGTCAACGGCGTTATAAAAATGCAGAATAATACAGACAATAAAGAAACAATGCTTTGACTGGAGACTTTTCAATCAGACAGCCGCCCATCCGGTAAAATGGCCCAATGCAAGAAGCGATGCAGAACGCAAAAAATGCAACAGAAAGCCTCCCATGCGATGGCGCCCTTTCGCCGCCTTTCCCCTTCTTCCCTTCTTCCCTCCTTCCCAACCTCGTTAATCTTCCATCATTACATCACCATCTTTTCAGGGTCTTCTTGATACAGTTGGCTTTTCTTCTCACAATACTCTAGAGCCTTGGGGCCCCAGACCTCTCTTCCTTTGTATTCACCAACATATTCTGGCCAGCTCTTGATCTCCTTGGCAAGGTTTTGCAATTCCTGCATTGGCAGCTCATCCAGAGTTGTCAAAATGGTCTTGACACCAAAGACGAGTGCTCCGGTACGAGGAAGTCGACGGAAAGTTTGTCGCTCACGACGAATAACAATATCCTGTGGCGTTGGATCCGGGTTCTCCTCAGATAAAGAAGTGGGACGATAGAGGATCTCAAATAGATCTTCATCGGGCCGCTTCACTTCGACGAAGTAGTTGGATCTCTCCATGGGTGATGCCGGCGTGAGCCGAGCCAAGAATCTGGAGTAAGAATGTTAGTCTCTCTCCTTGCTTCTGCTGTTCGCCTTCACTGCCAACCCAAGCAGCCGGAGTACTTACTTGCTGACTGAATTGGCAACCTGCTGATGCCACAGTGGTACCGGGTTGTGAAGCTTAGAGATGGTCCACCCAATGCGGTCTTGAACTGTCCAGCCAACGGGGAAAAGGCTTGCGCTGGCGGCCCTGTTCATATCGGTCAGTCGGTCGATTTGGAGGTGAGAGTAGGATCATAAGACTAACAGATAGTACTCGTCCTCCTCGTTTTTCATCAGAATACTCAAATCCTCCATTGTCAGTCTGACGGCTATCTCAAGTGGATCGACATCTTTGTTCTTTCCTCCAAAGGAAAATGTCTCTCCAGTCATTTTGTTGTGCACAGTCGTCTCGTCACCGCACTTTTTTTGTTCGAAAACATTGGAGAATCGCTGGCAGAGGAATTCAACTACCTCTTCCAATGCCTCTAGACATGCGTCATATGACTCAGGGAGGCATTGGAGGACCTTGCTCTTCTCTTTCTCCAGCAATTGGCTTCTAACCTCGTGCTCGTCCATATAGTTTTTATCAACGGTGAGCCAGTTTTCCACGTCCAATCTCCGGACGTCCATCATGACTCGGTATCTCTCCCTGCCCTTGATGGGTTGGGCCGGGTAAGGAGCCATTTTCTTAAGATCATTGCAACCCGGTTCGGCATGTTTTGTGCGCCATAAGGATGGCAGGTTCTTTCGATATCTGGTGAAGATGATAGAAAGAAGAAAAATCGACAACGCAAGACATGATAGGGTATTCATTGCTTTTGAGATGAAAGTTCACAACAAAAGGAAATGAAGGAAGGGAAAAAGAAAAGAAGAGGATCTTCGATGAAGCTTTTTATTGTTCACGCATACAGGTCTCCACGTCGCAAGTCTGATCGGAGGGGGGCAATGGGAGAATTCAACATGGCGAAACTCTCTGCTCCCGGAGAGGACAATGGCTCCAATTATAATCAGGAGAGTAAGCCATAGTCTCAAAGATCATCATTAGGGTCAGACGATTTAGCTACAAGGGGACTACTACATTCCGGATTCAAGGAGCTGGGTTGGGTTCTGATACGTTCTGTCTTTCCCCGCAAAAGCCGCAATTCGCCGCCCCGAAAAAAATAATAATAAAAAAAAAAAGGAACCTGACAGCATCCACATGATCCAACTGAATTCTCAGCATTCAGTGCAATCGAGCTCCACTGGGTCTTAGTGGTAAACGCGGGGGTGAGGATCCATCAGAGAGTGAACTCTATGTGGACGAGAAACTCAAACCATGCGCAGGTCCGTCTCCGCCCTGGATCCGCAGCCCGGCCCATGTACTAGCTGCTGAATGTCACTTCAATCGCGACGGTACCGGTGCCTACTAGTCTTGTTTTGCCTGGATAGGAAGGCACTAAGTTAACGCGCTTACTCACATACGAAAGAGTCCTAGGTCGGGCAAGGGTTGTGACAGAGACAATAATACCGCTCCCTACTTCCATTCTTCCTATGGAATCGTCAGGCGGAGCTCACGCGTATATCGTCCGTGCGCACGCCCATTGGAAGACCTCGTGAGCTGAACCCGATCGGATCCTAGGGGAAATGATGCCCCTGTCTAACAGGTTCCTGCGGTTCCGCCCCAGCGGTCTTCGTCTTTTTTCTTCTTGCCCGGGGCAGACGCAGAGACATTGGGACAAGCACATCGTACTCGATGGCATTACGAAATGAGAAAGAAATAGCGCAGTCCGGTATGTTGGGACCACTTCGGAGGACCAGTCAAGCATATCTTTAGACCGGAGTGCAGGAAAATCATACATCATCACCTGTGCAACAGAGGGCACGATGACCGAAGGAAAGCGCGTGGGATGCTGCGTGGGCCGGCTTCCCTCTCGGCACCGAGTGGGAGGGGGGTCATCAGCTCCCAGCGTAATGGCAAATAGACGTCCTCTTAGGCGGCTATGAAATTCTACGGACCTGCCTGCCATGCTGGGGATAGGAAGAAGGCACCGCTGGGTCTCCATCTATTTCGAGTGACGTGCTGGCACTCTAGTCATTCCAGTTGCTGCGACTGGTCAGTCGGCTCCGGCGCAGCGATGCCACTATATTGGAGCTAAGTCGTTAAGAGAAAGCCCCAGGTCGGCACTGACGTACTGTGAGGTGTCCTTGCAGTCCTGCGAGGCCTCTGGCGCAGACTATACGCTATTCACCCGCTAGTGGAATTCTACTTACTGTGTTGGGACGTGCATCCATCCATAGCAAGTTGATGCTCAGGGTGAGCGTGATGGAAAATTATGAAATAACCTGACGGGCGATCCACCTCCGGCACGAGTCCAGAATCTGCTCTTTTTGTTTTTTTTCTCCACTCTTGCTAAATGAGCCCATCTGGGGTTTTGCGCTGCAACCGCCCCAGTTCGCGCAAAGCGCGCTTGCCGCAGGTCCAGTCTAATTGGGAACTAATTATCAGTGTCCGTTACGTTTGCTCCTCTCAATGTGCAACAAGACGGCGGTGTCTCAAGAAAGAATGCGTCTTTTTTATCCCACTCGTCTCATCTGGCTGGCTTTTGAGTCTTTTTTTCCTTTTTCCTCTTTTGGTTTATCTTTTGCGTTGCTTATGCCGCGTTTCTTTGCTTTTTTTCTCATTTCTTTTTCTTTCTTTTTTTTTTTTTTTTTACCTTCCTCTCGTACTCTTTCGGGATTGCTTAGTCCGCCCCTTCCATCATTGTTGGGGCGATCTCAGATTTCCTCCGCCAGAAGATCAAGGTTAATCACCCTGTTTTCTTGCATTTTCTTTTTTTCTTTTTTTTCGGGTTCTCCTCTTCACTCTGCATTCGTCACATCTGTCCAAAATCACCCACCGAGAGTATCAAATCCTCCGAGACACAGCGGGCTCTCGGACCGAATAGGACATTCATTGCCCCAGCTTGCTTTTTCCCACGCCAGCCCGTCGATAGCAATAATCAGACAGTGGAGAGTTCTTAGTGTCTACTGCCTTGACTTGACGACGCTCTAAGTGGACTGACTGGCTTGCGGACCCAAAGTCGTCTGCCTTCCGGCACAGCCTACTATCTTAGTTCATACGGCACAGGCCAAAACTCATGTCTAGACTCTCTAGGCCTCAGAAATACACCGGTGCACGGTGCGGCAACCCACCTTTCGTCAGTGATCGTCGAATGATTGAAGAGGGATTTGCAAGACACTCGGCGGGCCATACGGCATTACTCCGTAGCGATGGATTGACTCAGCTCAGGCCTAGTCTGAGTCTTGGGGAGCCTACTACTAAGTAGAGGGCTCCTCTTTCTGGACCACGCCATCGGAGTGGACGAGGAAGCTGCAATTCCGTGCTGTGGGACTCGACTAGGCCAAAGTTGGGTCCAAGTCCCAAGAGGATCGACTCACCGTGCACGGACGGCTATGCCGGTCCTACCATGGTGGTTCTCCACGATTCTCCGCATGGCAATGAGACTTAGTTCTAGGTCTACACCGGTCTAGGTAACTGATAAGCCACTGGCCGGTCGCCCTAAAAGGCAGCTTGCACGGTAAGATGTTCGTACTTGTGTCAAGGCGTCTTACCCAGCCTCTGGAACCAGAAGTACAAAACCGGCTACCACTCGGGCTTAGATCGGGGAGGGCGTGTCTCGTTTCGTAGAGAGCAAGGCGTAGACTAGTCCAGATGGCCAGGGTTTGCTGCCGCCGTTGCTGACTGGGGCTCTAGTGGCCTTGGCTTTCTCAAGGCAGCTGAACAGGGCGCTGCCTTGATCTTAGTAAGATGATGAAATCGATTGAGCCGACGAAACACAGACGCTGCCACGAAGGGGAGAGACGCCCGACAGACAGGTTTGGAGGGTCTCCTCGCAGCAAAGTGAAAACGTGGATGCGGTGGCCTTCCTGTTTGAGCGATTTGGTGGCCATCATGTGATCCAGCTGGTGAATGACCCCTGCATCATGTGATTGCAAGGAGGCTCGCTCCAACGTCCATCGCAACGCATCTTCCCCTCCGCCTTCTTTCTTCCCCTCGTCCTCATCCCAGGGAGCAAGCAAGCACTTCGCCCCAGCTGTGTCACCCCCCCTCCCCCCTCGTTGTTTCATCCTCGGATCCAACAAAAACTGCCACTGCAGGCTTATCACCAAGCCTCCCCACCCCTCTTCATTGGGTGTCTAGGCAGATCGTGAGAAGCGTGTCTCTGCACAGTACAACAATGACTTCCTCAGCAGAAGGTCCCATGCAGTCCCCTCCGCTACCTGGTGATGCGGATGCCCCGCCAACCTTTCAAGAATGGTACTCCTTCGATGCACTCGCCAACTGTTGGAGCTTACTTCCATCCTCTACCCCAGTGACATGCGATGAGAGCACAATGCCAGCCTCGGACAAAGCGAAACTGAAGCATCCTGCACTTAACCTTGTAACTTGGAATGTAGATGCCTTCGCCAAGTTTCCCGATGACCGTATGGCCGGCATCATTTCCACCATACGCAATCAAACTCCCCCACCTAACATACTCTTCTTCCAAGAGGTTCCTAAGGCAGCACTGTTCTACCTCCTCAATGATCCCTGGATTCGTGAGAATTGGTACTCTAACGAGGGAAACCTCAGCAACTATGGAGGTCATGTATTCATGACCGTGATACTCTTATCCAAACTCAGTTTCGGTAGAGACAGTCAGGAACCAGACAAAGCATGTATCGGACCAGTCTGGCGAGTTAAATATCGAAGTAAGTTTGAGCGAGACGCTCTCTGCTGTGATGTCTTCATGCCACCGTTTGCTACCCGTGTCCGTTTGGTCAACGTGCATCTGGACTCTCTTGCTCTTCAGCCAAGTCGTCGTCCGCGGCAGCTCGCCATCGTTGCGAATAGTCTCCGTTGTGCTGGGCATGGCTTCGTTGCAGGAGACTTCAACCCTGTCCTCCCAGAGGATGACAGTCTCGTGGCCGCGAACGGTCTGGTAGATGTGTGGAACGAGCTGCACCCCGACGAACCAGGCTTCACCTGGGGTCTTGATGGCCGGGAGCCTTTCCCTCCAGGTCGGTTGGACAAAGTGGCCGTTCTTGGCCTGAAGGGGCAAGAGATGGACATTCTTCATCCCGGTGCGCTCGAAAGCGCGGGACAAGGTCTACTGCGACGACAACTGGATACCCCAGTGCCATGGAGTGACCATTCAGGTTTAAAGTGCTGCTTACGTCTTGCTGAAGAGCCCTCGTAAGCAAAGCAACATTTCTCTCGGCTCTCAGTTCTCTAGGATATCCCCTTTCAAGTAAGAGCAGATATCTATCGGCTACGACATTCGCATCACATCCCAGGCTCCCAGCGCACCCACGTGGCTCTAGCAACCATTTCTATTCCAGTTCACCCCAAGTGGTCGAACGCGTCCATCTACAATTGGATGCGTATGATAAGGCAAGAAATGGTCGTCTCCAATATCCCCAATACAGATCCATCAATGCGTCCAATAAGCACCCCCCACAATTGCTACATACACTAGGTATGACGGCTTCATTTGTTCAATACGGACTATATGGATGCCTTGTTTATTATCATCCTAAATCAGCCACCAGCGTCAGACGTGCATGACGCACACGTCTATGTTATCCGTCTCTTTGAGAGAACTACGTGGCTTATCGTGGTTTCCTACTGTAGAGAGCACGAGAGGGAGTCCGATTTGACAGAGCAGTCTTTGCCTAAAATGGTAGTAGTTACTCCAGTTCCTCCGTATGGGTTATGGAAATGCCAGTATGATCGTTCATAAATGGTGCCCAATAATTACCACAGGACTCCATACCTAAGTTCCCGATAATGTAAGCTTGATGAAAAAATAACTCAATGCCGGACAATTTGAAAACCAATCAAGTAGTCCTTAATATTGCGTATATGCAGCTGGACGGTAATTATTGACCTGTCTAGTAGTCGGCCCGGAAGATGGTCAGGTCCCGACTTTTGACAGCAGCGGTGGAAGGAATCATCATGGATAGTTTTTCCATTATAGGATTAAATAGAAATCATCAATAGCTCATCGAAAGAGGTATCCAGGGGAATAAGAAAACACAGACAATTGGCCCCAAAAATCGGTGGGGGCTCGCAACAAAATGGTAATCTCCAAAAATCGTCCACACGGACGCAAGCTCAAGCATATTAAACGCCCTCCCAGTGCAGTGCTGATCATCATTGGTGTATCACAAAAGTTGGGACTTCCGCATTCAAACCCGATTTGTACTCTCAGTCGGCTCTTTTTCTCGGACCTTCCATACAGGGGCGCTCCTCTTCTGCCTGCCTGCCTAACCCAAGCAGGGCGTTGTCTACCTAAACTTGGCCCGGCACCGACCCATCACTTCGCCCTGACAGACAAGCTCTGCGCTGAACTCGCTACCGTCCAGCGTGAGGTAGATGTCAAAGTACACTCGGTAAAAAGTACCCTGGGGTGTGTCCATGCGCTCGAAATCGGTCTCCAGGTTCTTACGGGACAGATCGGAGGTGAGTGTGACGACTTCCTTGATACCTGCATCCAACGTTAGCACCCCATGAGCAAGGCAGCCAGTCCGAAATGCAACTTACGTGGATCCTTGGTGTACTCTGGACAAACATCCTCATCGCACG